AAAAAAAATCGATTGGCAATTTTTTTTACCGAAAATTTGAAAATAATAATTCAAAATACGCTATATACCTTTAGATTTCATTATGGGATGTATTATGAGCCATCTCTTATGGACCTAGGTTCAAAATTCGCCGAACGGGGCGCTGCGCAACATTTGCGCAATCGATTTTGTCCCTTTAAATCGCCCGAAATAAAAAAAAATTGGGCCAAAAATTCACTCTAAATCGAAAACTACAGGTATAAGCAGAAAAATTTGAAGAAAATTGCAATTGATAAAATAAATGAATTGGGTATTATTTTACCGAGAGTTTCGAAATAGTCATTTAAAATACGCTATATACTTCTAGATATCATCATGAGATGTATTATGCGCCATCTCTTATGGTGCTAACTTCAAAATTCGCCGAAAAAGCCGCTGTGCAAAGTTTGCGCAATCGATTTTGTCCTTTTAAATCATCCGAAATGAAAGAAATACGGGCTCAAAGTTCACTCTAAGTTCATCGAAATCTACAGGTATAAGTAGAAAAATTTGAAGAAAATTGCAATTGATAAAAAAAATCAATTGGCAATTTTTTTTACCGAAAATTTGGAAATAATCATTCAAAATACGCTATATACCTCTAGATATCATCATAGGATGTATTATGAGCCATCTCTCATGGTCCTAGGTTCAAAATTCGCCGAAAGAGCCGCTGCGCAAAGTTTGCGCAATTGATTTTGTCCCTTTAAATCGCCCGAAATGAAAAAAAATTGGGCCAAAACTTCACTCTAAATCGAAATCTACAGGTATAAGCAGAAAAATTTGAAGAAAATTGCAATTGATAAAAAAAATTCATTGAGTATTTTTTTGCCGAAAATTTCGAAATATTCATTTAAAATACGCTATATACTTCTAGACATCATCATGAGATGTATTATGCGCCATCTCTTATGGTCCTAACTTCAAAATTCGCCGAAAGGACCGCTGCGCAAAGTTTGCGCAATCGATTTTGTCCTTTTAAATCATCCGAAATGAAAAAAATATGCGTTCAAAGTTCACTCTAGATCGAAATCTACAGGTATAAACAGAAAAATTTGAACAAAATTGCAATTGATAAAAAACATCAGTTGGCAATTTTTTTGCCGAAAATTTGGANTATGGACCTAGGTTCAAAATTCGCCGAACGGGGCGCTGCGCAACATTTGCGCAATCGATTTTGTCCCTTTAAATCGCCCGAAATAAAAAAAAATTGGGCCAAAAATTCACTCTAAATCGAAAACTACAGGTATAAGCAGAAAAATTTGAAGAAAATTGCAATTGATAAAATAAATGAATTGGGTATTATTTTACCGAGAGTTTCGAAATAGTCATTTAAAATACGCTATATACTTCTAGATATCATCATGAGATGTATTATGCGCCATCTCTTATGGTGCTAACTTCAAAATTCGCCGAAAAAGCCGCTGTGCAAAGTTTGCGCAATCGATTTTGTCCTTTTAAATCATCCGAAATGAAAGAAATACGGGCTCAAAGTTCACTCTAAGTTCATCGAAATCTACAGGTATAAGTAGAAAAATTTGAAGAAAATTGCAATTGATAAAAAAAATCAATTGGCAATTTTTTTTACCGAAAATTTGGAAATAATCATTCAAAATACGCTATATACCTCTAGATATCATCATAGGATGTATTATGAGCCATCTCTCATGGTCCTAGGTTCAAAATTCGCCGAAAGAGCCGCTGCGCAAAGTTTGCGCAATTGATTTTGTCCCTTTAAATCGCCCGAAATGAAAAAAAATTGGGCCAAAACTTCACTCTAAATCGAAATCTACAGGTATAAGCAGAAAAATTTGAAGAAAATTGCAATTGATAAAAAAAATTCATTGAGTATTTTTTTGCCGAAAATTTCGAAATATTCATTTAAAATACGCTATATACTTCTAGACATCATCATGAGATGTATTATGCGCCATCTCTTATGGTCCTAACTTCAAAATTCGCCGAAAGGACCGCTGCGCAAAGTTTGCGCAATCGATTTTGTCCTTTTAAATCATCCGAAATGAAAAAAATATGCGTTCAAAGTTCACTCTAGATCGAAATCTACAGGTATAAACAGAAAAATTTGAACAAAATTGCAATTGATAAAAAACATCAGTTGGCAATTTTTTTGCCGAAAATTTGGAAATATTCATTTAAAATTCGCTATATACCTCTAGATATTATCATAAGATGTATTATGAGCCATCTCTCATGGTCGTAAGTTCAAAATTCGCTGAAAGAGCCGCTGCGCAAAGTTTGCGCAATCGATTTTGTCCCTTTAAATCGCCCGAAATGAAAAAAATTTGGGCCCAAAATTCATTCTAAACCGAAATCTACAGGTATAAGTCGAAAAATTTGAAGAAAATTTCAATTGATAAAAAAAAATGAATTGAGTATTTTTTTACCGAGAATTTCGAAATAGTCATTTCAAAGACGCTGTATACTTCTGGATATCATCATGGGATGTATTATGCGGCATCTCTTGTGGTCCTAATTTCAAAATTCGCCGAAAGAGCCGCTGCGCGAAGTTTGCGCAATCGATTTTGTCCTTTTAAATCATCCGAAATGAAAGGAAATATGGGCTCAAAGTTCACTCTAGGTCGAAATCTACAGGTACAACTAGAAAAATTTGAAGAAAATTGCAATTGATAAACAAAAACCGATTGGCAATTTTTTACCGAAAATTTGGAAATAATCATTCAAAATACGCTATATACCTCTAGATATCATCAGAGGATGTATTATGAGCCATCTCTCATGATCCTAGGTTCAAAATTCGCTGAAAGAGCCACTGCGCAACATTTGCGCAATCGATTTTGTCCTTTTAAATCATCCGAAATGAAAAAAATATGAGCTCAAAGTTCACTCTAAATCAAAATCTACAGGTATAAATAGAAAAATGTGAAGAAAATTGCAATTGATGAAAAAAAATCGATTGGCAATTTTTTTACCGAAAATTTGAAAATAATAATTCAAAATATGCTATATACCTTTAGATTTCATCATGGGATGTATTATGAGCCATCTCTTATGGTTCTAGGTTCAAAATTCGCCGAAAGAGGCCCTGCGCAAAGTTTGCGCAATCATTTTTGTCCTTTTAAATCATCGGAAATTTAAAAAATATGGGCCCAAAGTTTACTCTAGATCGTAATCTGCAGGTATAAGTAGGAAAATTTGAAGAAAATTGCAATGGATAAAAAAAGAGACTTGGCAATTGTTTTACCAAAAATTTGGAAATAATCACTCAAAATACGCTGTATACCTCTAGATATCATCATGGGATGTATTATGAACAGTCTCTCATTGTCCTAACTTGAAAATTCGCCGCGCAAATTTTACACAATCATTTTTGTCTGGTGTTCGGAAAAATTGGTTTCGGTCTTTAGAAAAAAAATTTTCAAGCTCCTTACTATCAATTTTAACATTTTAAATGATGCTAAATCGGAAAATAATATATTTAACGTTTTTTTGAGGCGAAAAACTGGAGGTATATGTTGAAAAAAAAATTATTTTTTTGGGCAATCGATTTCACCCTTTTAGTGTTAAAATGTGTTAATGATCTTTTTCAGGCCAAAATCTAGAGGTATAAGCAAAAAAAAATTTTTCGATATTCGCGCAGTCGATTTCACCCTTTTAGACGATGCAAAATCGAAAAAAAAATGTGTTAGTGATCTTCTTCAGGTCAAAATCTAGACGTATAAGCAAAAAAAAATTGTTCGATATTCGCGCAGTCAATTTCACCCTATTAGACGATCCAAAATATAAAAAAATGTGTTAGAAATCCGTTTCATGCAAAAAAACTAGCAGTACAAGCAATATAAAAAAATCGAAATTTTTCCCAAACACTCCTTCACAGCCGCGCAACGCGTACTACCGATCGCACTACACGTAAACACGCAGAAGGGGAAAAATGAATGGGATGGAATGGTAGAAGGGGAATAGTGAATTGACGTGTCTCTTCTGCGTGTGACACGCTGAACCACTTTTCCCCTTCTGCGTGTGACACGCCAAACCCCGGAATTCCCTGCGTGTGATCCGTCAAACCCCAAAATTCCCTGCGTGTGACACGCACGGTGCAAATAGCCACGGCCTTGTTATTAACTATGTTATTTTGTTGTTCCTGTGACTCTTTTCATGTTTATTGTAATTCTATCACGACCCCTCATATTCAGTCATGCTTCCAGGACCGCGACGTGGAGGCGGTGAGGGTATGGGTCCCGTTTGTTATCAAAGTACGAAATAAAAGCCCAATTATATAAGTTGGAAACAATTCAGTTTGTTCTTCATAAAGAAAATCTAATGAGATTAAACGAGTTAGACTCTACAAGAAATTAATGGGAATCACCGGGGTCCTGGAACTATCGGCTGCATCTGGAGATCTCCTCCAATATTCCCCGATGTTTCCTCTTCCTGGTCCCTCGGTTCAATAAAGACCACAAAATTCTTAAAACTCTTGTGTAAAATTTTGGACAAAATTTTTGTACCATCTCAAGTATGAAGGCCATCTCATATGTAAGTGGCAAAGAACATTGAAAATTTATTTTAAAAAAATGACGAAATCGATTTGAGTAATTTTTTAGTATGTCGTAGCGGAGGGTGTGGAGAATAAAATCCATCAAAAAAATTGCAACTTCGCGAAAGCATAAGTACATAATGGACAAAATCTCCCCGGACAAAATTTCCCTGGACAAAATCTCCCCGAACAACATCTCCCAGGACAAAATTTTCCCGGACAAAATCTCCCCGGACAAACTCTCCCAGGACAAAATTTCACTACGTCAAGTCATATTCATCTCTTTATATTATGGAAATCCAAATCGTCTTCTGGTGGTGAAAATTTGGCTCTCAACATTAGGACGCTAAAATTACGGGTCAGAAACTACGGATCATAAACTACGAATCCAAATAAGAGGCATGAAAGTCATAAGTGGATCATATGGGAAGGTGAGCGAAACGTGCAGGGGGCGCAGCCCCCTAGTATGTGCATAACGAATTAAATGTCTTTATTATTTTGAATTTTTTTACAAACTTGTTCAATCACAGTACTTTTTACAATATATTGGGATATTGGTCGATTTGATCGATCTCATTTGCACCTATATTCCTATCGTCTCATATTCGACCAATATCACTCAACCAATTACAATATCCTTCGACACATTCAAATCACTTGAAAACTTTTTCCAAATTACAACTCCATAGCAAAATATACTTTAAATTATGATTATTATGATATCGTGCATCACTATTGCATTTACTAGCGGACATTCTAAGATGAGATGAAAAATCAATATTTTCACAGGCTTATGCATATCACCAATCAGCCTTCTACATCAATTCGATTCTCAGGCTGTTTTTTTATTAACGGTGTTCACTCTCCAACATATGATTTTGCATATACCCGAATTCTTGGAATTTTCATTGATTACACTCCTTTGTCTTACGTGTATTCATTTTCTTATTTCGAAATTAGTTACGAGTTGAACAATTCGTCATGATGAGTATAGAATGCGTCAATACAAAGGAAGAATTGCAATATTTGACGGTGTATTTCACTGGAATAATTTTTTAGCGTAATGCCAAATTTTAAAGAAATATTCGTCTTTTCTCAATAGACGTGCACGAGCATAGGAGCTAATATCCGCATCCATATTATGTTCTCTCAGCCATGAACTAGTGTTTTCAGTACTATAGCTCACGGAAGCAGTTTCTCCTCTGTCTGTTATCTCTGCCAGTGGTTCAATCACTGCTAATTCTAACAGAAACATAACATTATATTATATGGAACAATCGATAAATAAAATGCACAAAATATAATAAATATTTGTTTCCTTTCCATGACATACCTGATACTGTGACGATTTTGAATGGTTCATCCAATTCTAACGCTTCGCTAAGTCCAACCTCATTACTAGCATATATTCTGATCCAATATTCGTGACCTTCCTGGAGATCTCTAATATGAAGTTTCTGCATATCAGCATGAACGCAGCCAACTTCAATCCACATAGTTTTTTTAGTGTCTTTGATAGCGATCTTATACTTTTCCAATGGTGAACCACCATCAAATTCCGGTCTTCCCCACTCAATTACTACTGTATTCGCTGCAATCTGTCTAATTTCGAGTGGCGCCGTTGGAGCCGTTGGAACAGTTGCATGAGTTTTTAAAGTCACTGCTTCAGAAACCGTCGGCAAACTCAATCCCATACAATTTTCAGCGAATACTCTAAATGAATATTCACTCTCTTTCAAATTTTCGACATAATATTGATATGTCGTTGCATCCAATGTTGCTACTTTAATCCAATTGGGAATTTTATCGATGAGCGATGTTAATTCGATGACATAACCTGTTGATTGAAGAGCAATCATTAAAACATATTTCTTCAGGATCATTTTCGTCATATATTTCCATAAATTATCACCTGTTATTGGACTGCCTCCAGTACTTGATGGTGATGACCAATTTAGAGTTACACTTCGACTAGTGATATTCGTAACATTCATGCCAATCGGACTAGATGGTGGGGCTGGAATAAATAATGGTGATTTAAATATCATAAAATGAAGCATCGATATCCATCTAGTTCTCTGCTATAGTGTAGGAATCCAATCCACTGGGTTATGTTATGTTGTACCTAACGTTGGTGTGGGGTTCTATTCCATAGTTCCATACCGATATTCATACCAGCGATGTCAGACAAGATTGTGACTCTCGAGACTCTAGCGACTTCTTTTTTTTTTAGTAACCTTTGTGATCCTCGTGACCATGTCGATTGACCCTCCCTTGTGGCTCTTTCAATTGATCCACGGTAAAATCTCCCGCACGGAGAGAAACGTTCAGTAAAAATTACGGAACCCACAATTCGCTCACTGATTACGGAATCGACTCAGAAAATTTAAGTGACGGTATCGTAATTTTTTACAGGAGATTCAGATAAAAATTACAGAACGCTCTGGAAAAATTCCGTGACAGTTCCGTAAAATTTCCTACGACCACATTTCACTCCGGAATTACGGAAAAGATACGTAATTTTTATTGAATATTTTTCTCCGTGCGTATATCCACGGTAAAAAAAGGGAGGGCTCCAACACGCATATACATCTACCTTACATCCGCGGTATAAAATCACCTTAAATTCACAGAAATTCTCCCGTATGTCCACGGTAAAAAGGGGCCAATTGCATTTACCCATCTACCTTATATCCACGGTATATGTTATATTTTTGGGGCCATCAACACATATCAACGCACAGCCCATACTACAAAAGTTATAAATATGACCCTTTGCCTATAGGTTCCTTCGGTGACGCAAGCATCCACCAAGAGCGGGTTTTCGCAAATTCATCTCTTAAAGGGGTGAAACCGTTTAAGTTGTAGGTGGAACATTCATATGTAAATTCTACATGTGAAATTATCAAACATATCGATGAAACTTTTTCGAACCTTATAAAATTGTCTAAACAAATTAGTTTTCCTAATCATTTGACTTTGATAATTTCTAGATATTTTGGAAATACAAATCATTTTCTCTTTCATTGAGCCATATTTATTTCCAATCTTTAGCATTTTTTTTAACGCTCTGCTCTTCTCAAACTTTGGTACAAATTCAGCAATTCTCTGGCATTTAAGAAAATTCGAAACTTGTTCCAAAAAATCAAGGAAATTCTTAGATTTTCTCAAACATTTGGCAAAATTGGGGGGTTCTACGAGAAATTTAAACTAGTTCTAGAGTCTTTCAAGCAAATTGAAAAAATTTGACCATTTTGCATACTGCGGCATGCAACACTGATACTTTTAGTAAATTTTGGGGAACTATTATTGAATCTTTGTTCTTGAATATAAAAATAAGATGCCAAAAAAGGGAATTCTCTGGGAGTGCCAGAGGGACCAATTATATTCAGTATTGCAACATAGGCTGTCCATCATTTTGAAGCTATTTTATGATTGATGAAATAAAGTCACATTTATTGATAAGAAAAGATGAACTCTTTCACTTCCTCCAACAATTTTCAAGGCTATTGTAACATCATAACCTTATGATAGAAAAAAATACGTACTGATACGATCTCCTAAAATGATGGGTTCCTCTGACAAATACGGAGGTCCTTTTCCAATATTATTTCTTGCTGTTATTTTGAATTGATATCCCGTCTCCGGTTTCAACTTTGATACATGAATGTAAGGACTACAGCCTCCTGTTTTTCCTACTATTTGCCATGTTTCATCTGATAATCGCTTTCTTTCTATGATATATTCGGTAATGGGAGAACCACCATCAGATTCCGGATGTTGCCACTTGAGCGTAAATGATTTCCTTGCCATTCCTGTTATTTCTATTGGTCCCCTCGGGATTCCAGGTTCTTTGAAGCATGCTTTCTCTATGATAGGCTTAGATTCAAGTGGTTTGGAAATGCCTACTTCATTTTTTGCCATCACTCGGAAAATATATTCAATATCATCATGTACATCATTGAAAATATAATTACAGACGTTACTCTCCACGTTTATTATTGGTGTCCATACTCCTTCTAAAGGTTCAAATGATTCAATTATATAGCCTATAATTTCAAATCCACCATCATATTCCGGTCGCTTCCATTCCATCATCAGAGAACCTTTTTCAATAGTAGTAACGAGTAATGGTCCTTGAGGCCTATCGGGTTCTTGGCCAACTATAAGAGATATCGCTATTGTTGCTTCACCAAATGCATTGGAAAGTTTTAGGGTATAAATTCCCATATCCTCTCTCGTTACTCTCTCAATTGTCAGATGAGCCACCTCATCATCTAAAGTCTTGAAGATTCGATCAGTTTCATCAATGACGGTATCATTTACAAGCCACTTATGAATTGGTGTCGGTGATGCAAAATAAGGCACTTGTAAGTGGACATTACTTCCTTGTCTTATTTTATAGACTTTCGTTGTATCAGTAGGAATTTTCGGAGCCAATTCAGTGATTTCAACTTTGAACTTCGTAGTTGTTTTCATATTGAGTATGCAAGCACTGTATTCTACAACATCATCTATCGAACATCCGCTCACAATCAGTTTTTTAACGGTTCCTTCATCAACGACGATATACTTGTCTGAATCATGAATTAATGTATCCTTTTTGAACCATTGAACCGGAATATTCGATTTAGATACTTCAATAGTGAGTACAACATCTTCACCTAAAGAAATTAATGTAACTTCAGGCAGCTTTTTAACAAAATCAACTCCGGGTTCTTGAACAATAAGACTTGCCTTTGATGTTTGGCATCCAACCTCACAGGAATAGATACCTGAATCGTCATTAGTTGCATTATAAATTTTCAATTTCTGACGTTTTCCATCTATATATAATGTTACTCGTTCGGAGAATTGCAGGTCTTGACCATCTTTCAACCAACGAACCAATGCATCTCCTTTTGTCAATTCAATTTCAAAAGTGGCTTTATCACCCACCATGATCCGAGCATCTTTCATCCTTGTAATAATCTCTGGAGGTAATTCCACTACGGTAACGTCGGCGGTACAGCGTTCATCTTGTAAAATACAGGCGTATTCCCCTTCATCATGAACCAACGCATTACGTATTACTAGTTTACGAATTGTGTTCTCTTTCACAAATTCTATTTGCTGCTCTTTTGGCTCTATTGGTTGTCCGTCTTTTTCCCACAGTACATCAGCAGAATGTGATGTTATTTCTACTTCCAGGATAGCGATATTTTTTTCAATAACTTCCAAATCTTGTAATTTTTTGACAAACTCAGGCTTTGTTGCTGTAACATTAAAATACATGATCAAATATATTGCACCATCTCAATAATATCTACTTAGGAGTAATTTCATTTAAGATTGAGAAGCATTGATCAACTTACGTTTGACTGTTACATAACAAGTTGTAGATTGATTCTTGACAGTACAAGTATAAACACCTTCATCATTTGTGCCTATTTTTTTTATGCGAAGCTTATGGATTCGACCTTCTTGAATTACTTCACGGTGATCCATACCACTTATTTCGCTTTTGTTGTGCCACCATGTAGTTGAAACGGTATGCGATGTTTCACAGTTGAGTTCCAAAATCTTATATTCATCAACAATTTTGTGTTCTTGAAGCATTTTTGTAAATGTTACTTGTGGGACGTCCACAGTTACCTTGGCACCATGCGATGCTTTTCCAATGGAGTTATTGGCAATACACTTATAGTCACCGGAATCAACTTCAGAATCTGCATTCTTTATTTCAAGCACAATGTTCTCACCGTCATACATCTCGTTGATGTTCAGTGACTTTTTCAATGGCTCGTTGTTTTTCAACCAAAAAACTTCGGGAATAGGATTGCCTGTCACTTTAGCAATAAGTTGGAATGTCTCTTTCTCCGGAACAATAATTTCTTGGAAACGTTGAATGAATAACGGCGGCTCTGGAGCTCCAGTTGGAACTTCTGAAATTTTCATATGCATGTAATCAAACAAGACAAATATAAAATTAAGAATGATTTCATCATATATCGGTCCATGTAATTTCAGCAATATTGTGAACTTTTTTTATTCACCTCCAACGACAACCCAAGAAAATTTGAAATTTGATAGCTCTAAAAGGATCTACAAACAAAATTTCATCAAAATAAATTGGAAATTTTTAAAAAATAACTTCCGCAATTTCAATATTTTTTAATGATTTCTTAAATATTCGTATAATGTCCAACTGTTCAGAAAACATTTGATAAGAAAATCCCCGACATCGAAATGTTTGGGCTTTGGATTTAGCTTGGAAGTGCTCAAGTATAAGTTCAAAATTCTGTAGGAAAGAACTCATCTCGATATTTGATGAAATCATCCACTTTGTACGATAGCTAGGAGAAATGTACAGTTGATAGTGAACTATTTAGAAAACTCAAAGCTTATATGTAATACAGACCTTCCACGGTAAGTATTGCCTTCGTTTCGATTATTCCACATTCGTTCATAGCAATGCAAGAGTACTCTCCTTTATCCGATATTTTTGGTTGAATCAGTGTAAGCTTATTCATATCACCGTCTTTGATTGGAATCACATTCTCAAGGGGTTTACCATCTTTTAACCAATTAATGATAGGTTCCGGTGTTCCAACGATTTGGGTAAATAAGATAACAGTTTCTCCCTCTCGAACTATCAAAGGTGTCAGGGGTTCTAAAATTTCTGGTGGCTCTTTCATACCGGTTTTCACTTTAAGTGGTATTTCAATAATTGCTTCGCCCTCCCTATTGACAGCCATGATTTTATATCGGCCTTCTTGTCGCTTTTGAACTCTAGTAATCTTCATTATACTGCAGTACATATGCATATCACTTTCCGTAACGATGACAATATTATCCGAACTGATCATCTTATTATTCTCATAATACCAGGTTATTTCCGGCTCTGGTACGGCAACTAATCGGCACTCAAGAATAACATCTGTATTTTCATTTACACATTTAGCTTTCGGTTTTCTCGAAAAGGTTGGCGGTATTCCTTCTAGAATATCTGCCAGTGAAGACTCTTTTGACAAACTTTTTCTTGAGTGTCCCGTCATGTCAGAGCCATGATCGGAAAATGGTCCTTCAACTGTAAGTTCTGTAGTGCTAGATGCGAATCCAGCGGCGTTTTTAGCCACACAAGTATATGTTCCAGCATCCTCAGCAAATATTTCTCTAATAATCAGCGTTGCTGTATTATCCTCATCGTAATAAATCTGGAAGTCCTTTGAAGGTTTAATTATTGCAGTTTGTCTAAACCATGTGATTTGAGGCCGTGGGAGTCCTTCAACTTGACATTCGAATTGCACCGTGTAACCATCTGAGGTATGTATAGGCTGTAATTTTTGAATGAAACGAGGAGCATAAGTTTCCATGCCCATTAATGGCTTCTCAAAAACAGGAAGTTTATCGATTCTCTCATTCAATTTCCTCTGGAAATATATAGAGTAATGTTTTTCGTCAAGCAGATACTGCGCAGGAACCCAACCCTTTTCCTGTGTCATATGTTTTTTGACAAACCACCAATCACTGTTTGTGTTTTCTGAAATTATTGAAAGAAAAACAGATGATACAAAGCTAATATGAATTTTCATAAATATTCATTCACATTTTATTCAAAATATAATATTGAAAATTGTTATAATTTTTTCTTCCAGATTGATGGAACGATTGTTCGGTGGAGTGATTGATACAGAAAACATGAAATTACGATGATCAGGGCTTCGATCATCAAAAAATGTCGTTCAGAGAGGGCTGACTAAAACCCTCTACTAAAACTATATAATGTGAACCATAAGCAAAGAAGGAAATCATAATCAAAGTGATGCTATCTAGCGTTCTTCAATCCAAGTGCCTGACTTGTCATTAAATAATATTAAAGGACCACTGTATGTCTACTAATTTTAGACTGTCGTATCTTTTCATAATCGATACTGGGATTATAATTTATTGTACTTAATCTACATACGTACCGATAACAGAAACTTGTTCTCCTTCTATCAAATTGATAGCTTCATCATTTTCAGCAATGTATGAACAAACGGAAAACATGCGATCACCTACGTTAACTGTATACTCCTCTTCGTCTTCTTCATAAATATCACTCGTTCTTGATATATCAAGCATTGCACCTTCTATAAATGTAGGGGATAGAAAATTAGTCAGTTGACTATATAAATTGTAGTGAGATTGGTGTTGTTTATACAAATAATATTATGGAAAAAATTTATGGAAAAATGAATAAATAAATAAATTGGGAGCATGTTTTTTAAAACTACGTGATTCCAGTTCTCCTCTTTACAAACCGCGGTACCGCGACTACCCCGACTCGTGTGTTCAAAGCTAACAGTAGTTGGAAACACTACTTTTCACTAGAATAATATACTGGTCAATGCAGTTTACGTTTTCATCTATGCTCACGCTCTTTTACCTCAATTTTACTACACAATGTTTTTCTTAACAACTTGAAAATTTCGAATTTTAGTAATTGCGAAAAACAGTACTCATATTACATCACCAACTCCATTCTGAATATTATTTCCTAGTAATTTTAAGGGACCTCAATTTGCAATATACCACTGACCAATGAGTCATTTGATCAACCATAATTACAAGAGAAATTGTCTTATTAACCCTCAAATGGTCGCAGCTCTCCACCGAACCTAGTTGGTCGCACGGTAAGAGAATCCCCGTTCCGTGTATTTTACAATTTCGAGAAAAAAAAGTTGAACAAAAAAAACTTATTCCACGTCAGCGAGTCGAGTTTTCAAAAGATTTTAATAATTCATCGGTGTAAGTGTGGGCCAAAAAACATATTGATGTGTTCCACATATTTAAAAGTAGGAATACAAATTTTTATGAATGTTTTATTCACCAAGTTTTTGTGTGAAAAGAAAAAATCAATAATCGGCGGGGATTTCCTCATGATGCGACCACTTAATGTTCAATTGATGGTACAACTTGGAAATTTTCTCCGACATTTTCTCTCTCATTCATTCTTAATTCTATTTTATTCAACTGAGAAAGAACTCGAACCTTCTTCATAAGTAGATGGCCGTCGCTTCGATTTCAATTTAAGTGCCAATGATTCGTCAGCTTCCTCAACCGAATATTTCCGGCTGCTTCTCAACCTCATTTTAACATCATCTTCTTCAATCTCTTCTACAGAATAAGGAATTTTCCTCGGTTTTCTTTTTCTTCGTAGAGGAAGATTAAATTCATCGAGTTCAAGTTCTTCCATACTGTATTCTTCTCTAGTTTCATCATCTGATTCATAAATGATCTCTTCGAAAATTGGTACATCGTCATTTACTGGTCCTTTGATAATTTTTATAGTTTCTTCACCGGCTTCTTCAGAGTATGTTGGAATTCGTTTCTTCGGTTTCAATCGAACTTTCCCTGACATTGAAATATCCTCTTCTTCATAAACGTTAAGTGAAATTTTAAATTCTTGTTCGACATCTTCCTTTGTTCTAGTTGTCCTAGGCCTGAATGTTACAGTTTCCGTTTCTGTAATTTCTGTAATATGCGGACGAGATTTCTTCTTGGGGCGAAGTTTACGTAATGTTACATCTTCATAAATATCTTCCATAGGTTTAGGCGCTTTTTTGGGCGGCTTAGGTTTGAATATGTATTCATCAAATGTTTCGGATTCATGTACTTCAGGAATTTCAATTATGTTATCATGCTTGTCAACTTGTTCTTCAATTTTCTTTATGATTAAGTTATCATTATCCTCAGTAACAAGCGATGATGTTTCCTTCTTCAGTTGAATATCAGCGGAGATTTCAAGTGTATCTGGAATTTGGCCGGCCTCTTTCGATTTTTTAATCATTACGACTTCCATTTCTTCCGGTTCTTCAACAGCTTTGGGTTTTTTCCCTCGTTTTTTTTGGATAGTGATATTTTCAATCATTTTCTCCGCAGGTTCGATCTTTGGCTGTCTCGATTTTACATCCTGTATCGATTCTTCTAATTTTTCGCCTGATATGTCGGTTATGTGTTTTTTTATTGTAAGTTCATCTTGACCTTCTACGTCATCAGTGGTTTTTTTCGGCTTCTTAATCAATGTAACCGCCTCACTAAATTCCTCAGGTTCTTTTCTGGAGTTATCAATCTTTGATTTTTTTATAGTGACTCGATCATCAGTCTTTTGATTCACTAGCCCTTTCTTCACCTTTTTTTTCAAAACGACATTCTCAATGGGTTCTTCATGAGATTTTCCCATTGATTCTTCTCCATCTTCCTTTTGAAGTGGTGTAATGACTGGCTTTTTGATCATGATTTCATCCGATTCTTCATTTACCTTTGGAGTTTTGCGTATTTTTTTCGGCAGCGATAGCTCTTCCGTAATTTTTTCCATAACTTTTTCCGGATTTTTCAATGTAATTTCATCGATATCTTCCTCATCCACAATTTTTTCTTTGGGTTTTATTTTCAATACCGTTTCCTCCGTAATCTCTTGAGGTTTTACTTCCAAGCTTGGCTTAACATGCTCATCTGTTGTCAATTCAGTAATTGTTGGAGACGGCCCTTCAAAAGTTACTTCTTCAAATGTTGAAGTCGATTCTTCATCTGGTTTCATACAAATTATCGGTTTTTGGATTGTAACTTCGTCTGCTTCCTCTCCACTAATTGATTTCTTTTTTGGAATTCTCCTTTGCATTATCTTTCCAGTTACTTCTTCTCTTCCCTCATCCGATACTTTGACAGGACGCTTTTTTATCGTTACATGATCAATTATATCGTCATCAAGTTTTTTCTTCTTAGGGAGTTTCTCTAATGTGATATGCTCAGGAACTTCTTCCTGATGTTCGTCAGGCGCTACATTTGTTTGATTTTGTAATGTAATTTCAACCATATTTGACTCAATTATGGTCTTTCCTTTCTCCTTCCGTTTTTTCTTTAATGTTACTTCATTAGCAGCGTCCGGAGATTTCTCTTTAGGAACCGTCATCAATATTACCTCTTCAATAACTTCTTCCTGTTGATCTTCGGTCACTGTGCTTATTTTTGTTGGTAAAGTAACTTCAATAACATTTTCTTCATTCGTAATTTTTCTCTTGGGCTTCATCTTTAACGTCACTGCTTCGACAATACTGCGAGGTTTTTCCTCAGAGACCGTCATTAAAGTGACCTCGTTAATTTCTTCTCCCTGGTCTTCGGGCATTGTGATTGTTTGTTGTGGTAGTATATCTTTAGTGCCCGTTTCCTCATCCTTTTTCTTTTTCTTTGGCTTTTTCTTCAATGTTACATCTGCAACCATGTCCTGAGGTTGCTCTTTAGAAAGTATGATCGACGATACCTCTTCAGTAACATCTTGCCGTTGATCTTCGGGCACCGCACTTAATTGTCTTATTAATGTGGCTTTAGTATCTTCTTCTATAATTTTCAATTTTTCCTCCGACTTTTTGTTCAGTATTAGTTCTTCGTCAACATTCTGAGGTTTTCCTGTTGAAATCATACTCAATGTTACTTTTTCAATCGCATCTTCCCGTTCATCTTCAGCCACGATGCTTTTTCGTTTTGGGAGAACGACTTCAGCAAAATTTTCCTCCATCGTAGGTTCTTTCTCAGGCTGTTTCTCCATCGTAATTTCTGCAGCAACATCCTCTTTAGAAAGGGGTATCAAGATTACCTCCTCAATGGTATCTTCCCGTTGTTCCTTGAACACTGCTTTTGGTTGTTCCGGTAGTGTGGCTTCAGTATCTTTTCCCTTTATTTTCGGTTTTTTCTTTGGTCTTTTCTTCACTATCAATTCATCCGTAATATCTTGAGGTTTTTCGATAGAACTCACTGGTAATGTTACTTTCTCAATCACGTCTTCCTGTTGGTCATCAGACACGGCGCTCTTTTGTTTCGGAAGAGTAACTTCAGCAAAACTGTCTTCAATTTTTGTTTCTTCCCTTACCTTTTTCTTCAATATAACTTCTTCAGAAACGTCCTCAGATTGCTTTTTAGAAAGCGGTACCAAAGTCACCTCTTCAATAACATCTTCCCGTTGGTTCTCAGACCCTGCACTTGGCTGTTCCGGTAGTGTGACGTCAGCATCTTGTACCATAATGTTCAATTTTTTCTTAGTTTTTTTTTCCAATATTAATTCATCAGCAATATCTTGACGTTTTTCAGCGGTTTCAGTAGAAACCGCGGCTTGAGTGTCTTTCTCCTCAATGTCTAATTCTTCCTGAGTCTTTTTCTTTAATATCAGATCATCAGAAATGTGCTGAGGTTTTTTTGTTGAAACCGTTGGCAATATTACTTCCCCAATGACGTCTTCCCGTTTGTCCTCGGACACGGGGGTCTCTTGCTTCGGGATTGTAACTTCAGTCAAATTTTCTTCAATCTTTTTTACTTTCTTCAGTTTTTTCTTCATTGTTACTTCTTCAACAACATTCTGAGGTTTCTCGTTCTGAATCATCTCCAACTCCGGAGTGACCTCTTGAGATTCCTCGTCAGAGGAACGGCGATGAGGTGTCAATGCCTTCTTCTTTCTTGTCACAGGCTGCCAATCAATTCTCTCAGGCATTGGTTCCAAAACAGGACGTACATATTCTGGTTCAACCCATTCTTCCCAATCCTCTTTTTTACTTGGTTGTTTTTTCTTATGTTTCCTTCTTGTTACAGTCTTCTCTTGGTTGACCGTAGGCGGTTCTGGCAATGCTTGAATTTGATCAGGAAGTTCATCATCCTCCTCTTGGACCTCTTTATTCAAGTCACTCAGCCGTGGTTGTACACTAATTGCTAAGGATTCCTTCGTATCGTTTTCTTCTGGTGCACTTCTGATAAAACCCTTCGGAATGAACGGTTTCTCATCATCCTCAGCCTTCGGTCGCTGTGGTATTTTAAATTTAACAATTGGTTGGTCATTTTCTTCAGGGATTTTCGGAATACCAGGTACAATAGGTATTTGTTCTTTTTCTTGATCCACTTTTTTCGTAGGACGTTTTACAAAACTTCTTTTCTCATCATCTGGGAGTTCTTCTTTTGATGGCAACTTCTCTCCTTGTTGATATTTTTCAAGTTCAGGTTTTGCAAAATCTAGGGGTTTTAAATCTTCTTGTTGGAGATCCACTTTTGCTGCCTCGTCCTCTTTCTCCATAAATTGAGGCTCATCTTCACTTTTCTTCGAGTTTGTTGGTTCTTTTTCAGTATCTAATAGCTTCTGCTCTGGAATTTTCTTCAATTGAACCTCTTCCACAATGTGTTGAGGACTTTCGGGAATTTTTCCTTTTCCAATGAACAGAGATTTTGCTGATACCGGCTCTTCTTTCAATTTCTTTGGTTGCCGCTGATAAAGTGATTTATCTGGAACTTCCTCGAGTGGAATTTCCTTCAATTTTTGAAAGTCCTGATCTAATTTTTCCAATTCTACAATCTCTTTCTCAGGTATCTTGATTTTTTTCATCTTTTTTCTCAAAATTTGCAATGCCTCATCAGCATTTCGTGATAAAATACCAGCCTGAGGTGGATTTGGTTCAATAGAAATTACGTTGAAAAATTGTAATTTTGGTGGATAGTCCCCATGAAAGGTAATCCGGCTGCGAAGCATAATTTTTGGGAATTTTATATTTGGTGTTTCTTTCTTTTTAATCAGAGCGGTTTTCTTCAACTTTATTGCGGCAAATTGAATTTCTTCTTTTGGTTCCATATAAATCAATTGCGTTGGTTTATTTGTTCCTCTTATTATTTTGTTAGGGACAAGTTTTGAGATCTTCGCAGAATCCGGCTTTTTATCTTTTTTTCTTTTTGAAGATTCCCACGAAATTTTTTCAGGCATTGGTTCCAGTACCGGTCGCTCATATTCAGGTTCTATCCATTCTTCCCATTCTTCTTTCTTGATAGGCTTCTTTTTCTTTTTCTTCATTTTTTTCTCTTTCGTGTCCATTACTGGCCCTTGGTCTTTACACACTTCCTGAATGGTTGATTGCTCACCATCCTGAGTATTGATCGAGTTTTTGATAATTTTGGGAGAATTACTTCCTTCCTGATCCGTAGTAAGTTCTTTATTATCACATGATTCATTAACATCAACTTGAGGTGAAATTTCCATATTTTCAATACAGCTTTCGTCAAGCTGTTTTTCTCCTTTGGGTTTCTCAATCATATGCGTTGGAATAATTTCGGAAGTCATCACATTTTCATCGAATGTCACCGTTTTTTCACCTTTTTTCGGCATTATGTTTTTTCTCAACTTCTTTTTAATTATGGGTGATTTGACATGTACCATGTTATCCTCTGATGTTATCTCCTCCGGTAGTCTCTCCACGGGGATGTCAGGTCCAATAACTTCATCTTGTTTTACATTTTCGCCAGTTTTTCCAACAACTAATTCACTCACATCGATTCTATCGGAAGGCACTATGGTTCCTATTGCATTCACTAAGCAAAGTTTGGGAATAATTATTTTTTCTATCGATTCATCCATTGTTTCTCCTTCTTGTATCGAAGATTTTCTCAGTTTTATGACTTTTTCAAATGCGTTATCAATAACTTCAAGGATGCGTTGGCTTTTCATTGATTCAATCTCATCGGCAGGTTTTACGAAAATTTCTTCCACAATCTCTGCCGGCTCATCTCTTATAATTGATTTTCTTTTCTTCTTTGTGATCAATTCCATTGGAGTTTCTCTGGTTTCAATAATTACTTCTTCAACAGGCCCTTCTTGAATGTCAACTATTGTTATTGTTGATATACCAAATTCATCAGTAATAAATTCAGCTGATCTTCGTTTGGGTTTATGTAAAATAATATCTTCGATTGATTCTTCCAAGACTCCCTCGTCATTAATAATATTCGATTTTCGGGTGATTATAGTTTCCATTGGTAACTCCCTGACTTCAACTATTTGATGTTTATTCATCAATTCGGTTTCTAGGATGGGTTTATGTATAATTTCTTCAATGACTTCATCAGGCTCATCATTGGTAGTGGGTTTCTTTCTCTTCACAATTCTGACAGTGGGAGTTTCGATTATTTCGAAAATACGAGGCTGTACTACTTTCGCCGTCAAAAGCGGTTCTATAACTATTTCGACTCGTTCTTTTATCGGCTTTTGGATAACAATCTCTTCGACAACTTCTGTCTCATTGGCTGGAAATTCCAATTCACTATGCCCTGTAATGGGCTTTTTTCTCTTGATTACTTTGTTTTTTGAAGTTTCCACTATCTCAATAATCTGTTGGGCCTCCAACGGATTATCCCTTGCATATGGTTTGAGAATTACTTCCTCAATATCTTCCTCAGGCTCATCATTATTGACAATTTTTCTCTTCTTCTTCAAAATAACTTTCGATGGTGTTTCAACCGTCTCAACTAATGTTTCCTGGAGAACATCACCATGAACATTGATTTCTGTAATCGTTACCGTGCCAATATCATCAATCACGTGACGAGCATTCTCTTTTCTCAATTTTGGCAGGACAATTTCTTCTATAGTTTCTTCCGGAACACCATCGGCCATAGTTGCCATCAACTTTCTTTTGATCACAGTTTCGTTGGGTTTTTCCTTGATTTCCACTATTTGTTGTTGCTCCATCAATTTTGTTTCTTCCAAAGATTTAGGAATAATTTCATTTGTCATTATTAGACCCTTGCGTTTTATGATTCTATTCTTTGGTGTTTCTATCACTTCAATTATCGGAGTGTATGAAATTTCTGCTCTTGCAAAGTCTTCAGTGATATATTTCGCATTTTCTTGCTTGGGTTTTAACAATATGATTTCCTCAATCACTTCCTCTTCATCGTTACCATCTATGGTAGCAGCAATTCTTCTTTTAATGATTGTTTTTGCTGGTGTTTCAATTGTCTCAAAAATGTTTTGTTCTATCATCGAGATACCTTCCTTCAATGTTTTTTCAATAACTTCTTCAGTAATGGTTTGATAGTTATCCGGAGTAGATGATGGGATCTTCTTAACTATTCGTTTCTCGGGTGTTTCAATTATTTCCACTATTCTATCAGGTTGTTGGAATATATTTATTCCAGTGATTCTTACGGTTTCCAATTCATGAGTGATTGGTTTAGCTTTTTCTTCCGGTGGTTTTAAAAGAATGATTTCATCTATTGTCTCTATAGGATGGTCAATGGCTTCAAGTATAGATTTGTTCTTTCGGATTATTTTCTTTGTAGGAGTCTCGACAATTTCAATAATTTTTTGTTCTTCCATTAAATTTCTTTCATCAGTGGGCTTAAGTCTTACTTCTTCGATTGTAACTTTGGGTTTCTTTTCAGAAGACCTCCTACTTTTCTTGATCACCTTCTTTAAAGGCGTTTCTATTATCTCAATTATCTCTTCCTTGTCAGATTGTTTTAATATTTCAGGCTTCATGAGTGTCACTTGTGCATCGTCCAACTCCTCCGTAACAGATACAGCATTTGCAATATCTAATTTTGGTAGTATAATATCTTCAATAATTTCATCTGAACTACCACCATCCTTAATGACCGTGGATTTTCTCGTGATTACCGTATTTTCAGCTGTTTCGATGATTTGTAAAATCTGCTGTTCATTCATAAATGAATTTTCCTCAATCGGTTTAATAATTATTTCCTCAAGAATTTCTTGGGGTTGTCCTTCTTCCTTTGATTCTTTTCGTCTTTCAATGATTAATTGGTTAGGTGTTTCAATAGTTTTAATGATATTTTGCTCGCTGAATTCCACTTCTGCCACAAGTTTGGGGATTCTCTCTTCCAATTTAGGAATAACGATTTCCTCAATGGTGCTTTCCAACTTGCCATCTGCTTTCATAGCAGATTTTTTCTTTTTAATAACTTTATGAGTTTTTGTTTCCGAGGTTTCAACTATTTGTTGTTTTTCAAACAGTGCAACGTGTTCTTCAGGTTTTGTAATTACTTCATGAATTGTAATATTTATTGCATCTACCATATCATTCTTGGTCTTTTTTGTTAAGACAACCTTCTGGGGTGTTTCGATTATTTCTACTATATTCATTGGCTGACGTTCCTCAATAAATGTTTCGGTAATATCAGGCGTACGTAATGTATCAATTGTAACTTGAGCATTTTCCCCCTTCATCTTCGGAATTACAATTTCTTCAATTTCGTCCTCAGGAATCGTTCCGTCATTTGAAGTACTTCTAAACTTCTTTATTATTATTTTATCAGGAGTTTCAATAATTTCCTTGATGCGTTGTTCCTCCATAAAAATTACCTCATCAATCGGTTTGTCGATTGACTCTTCAACAATTTCAGTTGTATCATGAATGTCATATGGCTTTAGTTTTTTTTTCTTCACTATACGCTTAGTTGGCGTCTCAATAGTCTCTAGAGTTTCCACTAGAATTTCAGTAGATTCATCAGGTGCTTTTTCAACATGTGGTGAAGTGATATCATATTTTTCAGAGCCCGGGATAACTGCCTCAGCTTGGTCCATTTGAAGTTTTCGGATGATAATGGTCTCAATTTCCTCCATGGGAATAGTGGTATTACTTGCAGATAAAATTTTTCTCTTAATGACTCTTTCAGATGGAGTTTCACGAATTTCCATGATTTTCTGATCTTCTAGTAATTTGATTTCTTCGTTCGGTTTTTCAATTATTTCCTCTACCATTCTTTGCAATTTCGCATTTTCAACAATTGATTTCTTGCGTATTATAATTTTTTCTGGAGTTATTACTGTTTCAATTATGCCTTCTTCGATCTTAACAAGTTCAGCTGGCAGGCGCACGACTTCATTTTCCATCTTTGATTGTTCATTCATATCAATGTGTGCTATTTGCATCATATCGTCAAATGACCTTTCCTTTCCTAATACTTTCATGATACCGTGGTCCGTAACTGTATCAAGTGAGGGACTGGATATCCATTCTTCGACATGTTTTTCAGGGACATTCTACAAGCATAATAGTTCATGGATAACGAAATAATGAAACAAAAAATATTACAAAGTGTGAAAAGCTTACCTCTTGAATGAAATCCTTGGTTGTACCTATTCAGAAAAACATTGATTAATATTGTAGTCATGATGATTTCGACTCGACTATGATAACTTTATATGGAAATTATTACATTGAAACAAAGAGGAAAGAAAATTGTAAGGTTTGGAAGTAATTTATTATTATAAACTTGCAAATAAGATATCTTATTTATCCTTCATTCTTAATACCTAGTTAAATTATGAATAAAATGTCAAGAAAACAAGGAGTATAGAAGGAAGTTGTATATAAATCCGCAGGAAGGTATTGCTCACCTAGAGGGCACGACTCAATCTCTTTTGGAACTATTGTTGTGTAATGTAGTGGTTCTTTGTGTATTATTTGTATAGAATCAATTCGCTGGAAATTCGTGAGCTCACTAACACCATCAGAAATCATATTGACATTAGTAAGCGAAGTGGATTCCGGAATTTTCACTGCTCCATCGGTTTCTCTAGGTCCTATGGCCGACGAGGATTCAACCATGTATTCAGGAAAGATTTCCTGTGTAGTTTTATTCAAAGTAGTGACGATTTTTTCCACGTCCCTTCCGTCCAGCAGCTGCTCACCGCCAACCTCATGAACCGTACCAACTTTATTTTTAATAATCTCTTCCGGGATTTTTTCCAATCCCTCAATTTTGCTCATTTCGCCGAACACAGTAATCTCCTTACAGATGCCCTTTTTTATTACAGCCACAGGCTTCATACCTGGTAGGTCTTGTCTTGGTAGGGATTGCCCTCCTTCTTCCTCCAATGTTACTTCTTCAGTCATATGCCGTTGACCACCTTTATTTTGTGTAATTTTCCCTTTCGCGATTTGCTTTGGTTTCCCAACAGCGGAGATCTTTTCTGTAACAGTAATCTCTTCACTCTTATTTCCATCTTCCTCAGTTACTTGCACTAGTTTTACAGGTGATAGAGCTTCCAGAATATCTTCCGGAATCGATTCTTCAGGCGTTTCTCCGTGGATAGTAGTAGTAGACTCTCTATTTTCTTTCCCCACCGTCAGTTCTTCAGCGATATGTGATTGAACATCTTTCATTCGAATAATTTTCTTCTTCGTAATTTTCTTCGGTTTTCCAACAATGGAAATCTGTTGAATAGCGGTAATCTCTTCAGGACCTTCCTCTTTCTCACTTACTAGTATAGGCTCAATACCTGATAGAGGTTCTACTATATGATGAGAAACTATTTCCTCGGTGGGTTCTTTACTATCCACAGTGAGCTCTTCAGTGATCCCCAGCCTTTGACTTTGATTTCGAATGATTGTTTTCTTCGTGATTTTCTCCGGCTTTTTAACTGGGGAATGCCCTTCAACTTCCTCTTTTTCAATTGGCTGTAGAGGTTCAATAACTGGCAGAGCTTCCATTATCTCATCCAGGACTACTACTTTATTAGGCTCTTCGTTTCTCACGGTGAGCTCTTCAGTGATCTTCTGGTTATTGCCTCTTTTCCGGCTAGTCTTTTTGCGCATGAGTTTTTCAGGCTGATCAAACTTAATGATCTCTCCAGTAATCTCTGCAGGGGTTTTCTCTTCCTCAGATGATTGCATGAGCTTTATAGACGGAAGAGCTTCCACGGCGTCTTCCGGAATTAGTTCGACAGTAGGTATTGATTCTATCAAGTTTTCTGTGACCTGCTGTTGAACACCTTTCGTTTGAATATTTTTCTTCTTCATAATTTTTTTCGTCTGTTCAAAATCAGATATCTTTGCAGCAACGTTAATCTTTTCACCAGCATTCTCTCCGTCTTCTTCATTTTCTTGAACAGGCACAATGCTAGGTAGACTCTCCACCGTATGATCAGCGGCTATTTTCTGAATAGGTTCTTCGTCGTCAACAGTAAACTCTGAAGTGATCGATCCCTTTTCATCGACTCTCGTCGGAATAATTTTCTCCGGTTTTTCAACAGTGAAAATTTCTTGATTAATGGTGATCTCTCCACAAACTTCCTTTTTTCCAGTCGCTTGGACAGTTTCATCAACTGACAAAGTTTTCAACATTTCACTGGGGACTATTTCTTCAGTAGCGACTTCGCTTCTCGTGACGAGCTCTTCAGTGATTCCCAATTCAACGCCTCTCTTCCGCTTAGTCTTTTTTTTTGTGATTTTCTTCGACCGATCAAATTTTACAATCTTCCCAGTCAAATCTCTAGAGATTTCTTCTTCCTCAGATGATTGCACATGCTCCACAAATGGAAGGGCTTCCACAATGTTTTTCGAAAATGGTCCTACTGTAGATTCTTTCAGGATAGTGGTAACAGATCCTTTACCTTCTTCTTCCACTGCTAATTTTTCTGTAATCTGCTGTTGACCATCTTTCTGCCGAATAATTTTCTTCGGCATACCGACATCAGAGATGTCTTCAGCAACGTTCATCTCTTCAAGAACTTTTTCTTCCGCATTTACTTCAACATGTTCGTCAATGGGTTCTTCACCGTGGATAATTATCTTCTTGGTGATTTTCTCCGGCAGTCCAACAGCGGAAATCTCTTTATTAATTGCTTTCATAGATTCAATCACTGCCAGGGCGTCCACCATCTGATCAGGGACTATTTCTTCAGTAGGCTCTTCGCTTCTCATGACTACCTCTTCAGGGATTCCCAAGTTGACGCTTCCCTTTTGGGAAGTCTTCTTTTTTGTGATTTTCTTAGGCTCATCAAACTTGATAATCTCCTCACTAATGTCTTCAAGGATTTTTTCTTTCTCAGATGGTTGCACAAGCTCTATAGCAGTAAGAACTTCCACAATGCTTCCCGCAATTGGTTCTACCAAGGGTTTTTCTAGGATAGTAGTGACAGATTCTCCACCTTTTTCTTTTACCGTTGACACTGTGGTAAACCGCTCTTGACTACCTTTCTTTTGTATAATGTTTTTTTTTGTGATTTTCTTCGGCTTCTCAACAGCGGAGATCTCTTCAGTACGGGTAATCTCTTCACCAAGTTCCTTTTCCTCAGTTGCTTGAACCGGCTGCATGCCTGGTAGATCCTCTACCATGTGATCCAAAGTTATTTCCTCACTAGGTTCTTCACCACACACAGTGAGCTCCTCATTGTTTCCTACTTTACTACGTTTTTTACGAACAATTTTCTTCTTCGTGATTTCTACTGGCTTTTCAACAGCAGAAATCTCTTTAGCGATGGAAAGCTCTGCAAACAGTTCCTCTCTTTTAATTGCTTCTGCAGCCTCAATAACTGGCAGAGTTTTTCCTATCTGATCAGGGACTATTTCCTCAGTAGATTCTTCGCTTTTCATTATGAGCTCTGCAGTGATACTCAGTTTACTGCCGGGCTCCGCAGCTCCAAAAACATCCACAATGTCTTTTACGATTGGTTCCATTATAGGTTCTTTCATGGCAGTGGTGACGCATTCTTCTCCTACCAAATCTTTTGTAACCTGATGTTGATCACTCTTTCGAATGATTTTCTTCTTTGTAATTTTCGTTGGCTTTCCAGCTTTTATCTCTTCAGAAACATTCTCTTCCTCAAACTCATAGACAGGCTCAATAAGAGCCAGAGCTTCCATTAACTGATCAGGGACTATTTCCTCAGTCGGTTCTTCACCTGTCCCTACAAATTCGTCAGTGATCGCAAATTTATCGCTCTTCTTTCCGATAGTCTTTTTCGAAACTTCTTGAGCCTGCTCAAACTTTATGGTCTCCACTGGCCTGTCTTCACGGACTCTATCTTTCTCTGTTACTTGTATAGTCTCTGTTGATGGAAGAACTCCCGTGATATTCTCCGTAGTCGATTCTTTAGTAAACTCTGTCATGATAATAGTGACCTCTCCGTCAACTTTCTTTTCTTCAGTCGCATGTACAGATTCGTTAACCATCTCCTTGTTGGGTTTTTCACCTCCCATGACGAGCTCTTCAGTTATCCCCAGTTTCTCGTCTGCCTTCCTGATTGTCTTTTTGGTGATTTTTTTCGGCCGATCCAACTCCATCGTCTTCCTCTTCATGTCTTCACGACTTTCTTCTTTCTCAGTTGCTTGCACAGGTTGTATAGCCAAAAAATCTTTCTCCATATCCTCTGGACTTAATTCTTCTGTAATTTCATTCGGAATAGGGCTGATTGATTCTGTATTTTTCCCGTCGACTGTCAACTCGTCTGTGACCTGTTGCTGAATCCCTTTCATTCGGATAATTTTCTTCTGTATCATTTCCTTCGGTTCCACAATTGCGGAGGTAACTGCAGTAATAGTAAAACCTTCACAAATTCCTTCATCCTTATCTGCTTGCATAGGCTCTATAGCTGAAAAAGCTTCTGAAATATCATTCGGATTTGATCCCTCAGTTGCTTCTTTCAGTATGGTAGTTATGGGTGGTTTATCATTTTTTTCCACTGTCCACTCTTCTATAAGTTGCTGACGACCACATTTCTTTTGAATGATTTCCTTCTTCATGACTTTCTTTGGCTTACTAACTACAGCCAAGCTTTTAGTAACGCTAATTTGTTCACAAATTTCTTCTTTTTCAGTTGCTTGTACAGGCTCAATATTTGGCAGAGCTTCTACTATCTGATCAATTTCGATACTCTCTTTATCTGCTTCCTGCTGACTATACTTCTTTTTCGGAATTTTCTTAGGCTTTTTCAACTTCATGATCTCTACAGTTATGTCTTCATGAATTTGTCCGCTCTCAGCTGCTTGTACAGGCTCCATCGTAGAAAGAACTTTCACGATGTCTTTCGAAATTGATTCTTCAGTAGTTTCCTTCAGAATAGTAGTAACGGATTTTTCACCTTCTTCACCTACTGCCAACTCGACTGTTATCTGCTCTCGACCATCTCCCTTTTGCATAATTTTCTTCGGCTTTTCGATTGTAGAGATCGTTTGAGTTATGGTAATCTCTTCACGAACTTCGTTGTCCTTTGCTGTTGTTACAAGTTCCACAGCTGGAAGAGCCTCCACGATGTATTCTGGACTTGATGCTTCAATCTGTTCTGCATCTCTCACAGCGAGGTCTTCAGTAATTACTAGTTCATCGTCTTTTTTTCGGACAGTCTTCTCTTTCGTGATTTTCTTAGGCTTAATCTTCACAGCCACTTTTTCATGAAATCCTTCTTGTTCCGTTGCTTGCACAGGCTTTATCGGCGAAATAGTTTCTACGATGTCGTCCAGAATCGATTCGTCAATAGGTTCTTTCACAGTTGACCTTTCTGTAACTTGTTGTTGATCACCCTTATTCCCAATAATTTCCATTTGCATCATTTTCATTGACTTCCCAACTGCAGGGATCACTTGGCTAACCGTAAAATCTTCAAGAATTTCTTCGTCTGCAATTATTGGTGCAGGTATTATAGTTGGAAGGGTTTCAACAATGGTCCGCGTAATCGATTTCTCAGGTTTCTTGAAGATAATGGTGACGGTTTCTTTACCATCTCCTTCCATTGTTAACTCTTTGATGACCTGTTGTTTATCAACTTCCTTTCGATTCCATTCACTTTTTTCACGAGTAGCCTCGTCCAGAGTTGCTTGTACGCTTCTTCTCATTGAGGTAGCAGTCGTTTCTTGAAGGTTCATCTCCTCAGTAACTTTTTTCACAACTATTTTATCGTATTCTTGATTGTTTTCTCCTACTCTGAGTTCTTTAATGACTTGCCGCCTTTCATTTTTCGTCTCTCTAGTTTGCTTCTTCTTCTTCTTCTTGATGTTCTCTCCAGCAGCGTATACCACTGGTATTTCTTGAATTTCAATAAACTTTTCATCAGGCCCTTCTTCGATCTCATCAATCTTTGAAGGAATAATCTCCTCATATTCATAATCCGCTGCGACTTCTTCAATTGACATGAACTGTTTTTTGGGAATGTTAGGGAGCTTCGATTGAATGTCTTCTAATTCTTCTTCAATTATTATTACTTTGTCATTTTCATCTTTTAAAGGTGTTTTCTTTCGTATGATCGTTTTCTTTGTTTTTATCGCACAGGTAACATCATCTTCACTCCCCCGTCTAAATTTGGTTGTATATTCTGTCGTAGTGCTTACTTCGCTATCGGAGTCAGTCATTTGTGCATGTGTGGAATCAGTGTATTCTTGTATGAATGTATCGTAATGTGTAGGTAAAGTGCGATCAAATTCTGGGGCTGGTGCTTCTGTTGTTTCTGAAATGTATACAAGACATAGTATTTTCATGAAATTTTACGTGTCAAGTATAAAACTGTGGTTTCGCTACTATTTGGTTTGACTTCTAATTCAATCCTTCCTAACAGTACAATGCTAATAGTTTGTGTTACATGTTCTGTTGTATTTATGTTTGTGTACTGTTCTACATATTACTTACCTTCTGCTGAATTTCAAAATTAAGAACTTGCTAAACTTAATCAAAAAAGCTCATAGCCTTTCATTAATTTGAATGTACCCTACTTGTTCTTCCCAATGAATTAATCATATCATGACGTATAATCGTATTTCTCCCCCTCCCCCCCCCCCCCC